CCAATTTAAGTTCAGGAGAACACCACATTGGGATAGATCTTCAAGCTCCATATTGGGATAGATCAGTTTAGAATTAGCCTCTTTTTGTCTTTTTGCATGGAGTCTGCCATGCCAGGAGAGTGTTTGGGTGATTAGGTACGACATGAGCAGGGAACCCGTTGAAACCTGTTCACGAAGGATTCTTTTTTATAGTTTCATGGACGATAGGAGAGGGAAGCGACCTGTGGGAACCGGGAATACACCAAACGTAGTATGATCATCATAACACCAACTGGACAATTGACGCGCCACAGCACCTTAACTGGAGAACACAATCTCAACACCCGCTGGATCAGCGTGTGAAATGGCTTTGCATGAGAAACAGCACATATTAGGTTATGGTGCCAGATACCATATGGAACTGTTCAATCACCTTCACCTGGGATTGAACCGGTATCTTGTAATCTGATCTGTGGAGTGCTAACCACTGCACTATAGACCCACAGGTCTAGAATTAAAATTTTCTTATAAATATTATTATCTAATCTTATACAATTAACTTAAATTATTAAGAAATAAGCAAAGAATTTTGTTATTATTATTAGTTCATTTGTAAAAATAATTAAAATTCCTGATCTTTACATATTACTCTATTAGATTCTTCAATTGTCAATATAAAATTTACAATTAACTTAACTTATTATTAATTATATTAATATTAATTACTATTTTTTTTATAAATACTATAGGATACAACTTTTTAAATATTTTCAGATAATAATAATTATATAACAATTTTTTGGATATATATAATCTAATTATTGATTAGTAAACAATATTAAATTTGATAATAATAACTATATTAAATTTTTTTAAAAAATAAACTATTTAATCTTTTTTTAAAAGACTATAAAAAATTTTTTTTGAAAAAGTTTGTTTTGAAAAAAATTATTATTTTATAATAAAAAAGAGTCAACTAGTTAGAAGAGTAATGTTATAGAGCATAAAGGTTTCAAAGGAGAGAAAAATCTAGAAAAAAAAACTTAATTTTAACAGAAAAAAAAAAGGAAAGGAAAGAAATATAAAATATAAAAAAAGTATATAAAAAAAGATAAAAAAATAAAGGAGAGAAAATAAAAAAATATGAAAAAATAAAAGAAAAGATAAAAAAAATAAACAGCTCAAAAATTTTCTAAAAAGAAATTTTCAAATATAGAAGAAAGAATAAAAAAAATTTTTTTTTTTAATTAATATTGTTAAATATTTTTTTTTCTAATAGATAAACATCATTTCTTTATTTTTTTTTTTTATTTTTTTTTTTTTTAAAGTGGAACGTGCGCAAGGCATGTGATCTTTATTGATACAATCTATATCCAGATAGACACACCAAGTGTCTCTACAAATTAACCGGAAGTCGGTTGGTATTGGATACCCTATATGTCTCTACAGTTAATCTGCAGATTAATACTGCCTAGTACATATATTACTATAAGACTAGCTACGCTAACCACTTTTATACCCAACTATGCATTCATTTAAATACCTCGAAGATGTGCCCACAAATATCATTTCTTTATTTATAGTATTGTATTTAAAGTTATATACATTAGTAAAAAAAACATCTCTTGAATACAAAACATATAACAAGTTAAATATTAGCTTGCCTACATATTTATATCTAATATCGAAAAGAATTTAAAACAATATTGTATATGTTAAATATAGCTAAAAGCAGCTATACTTATTTATTTAGAGTTTTTTAATTAAATGTAAAAAGAATAAAAAATTAAAAAAAATTAAAAAAAAAAATAAACTAAAGTTATAATAACATTAGCTATTGAAACCAAACTGGATTACTTGAACTATAAGATCTATATAAATAAAAAGAATATCTAAAAGGTAACCAATTGTTCAACTCTTGCATCAGCACTGGTTTTAAAGATGTAACTCTTATTAACATGAATAATAAAGTATAATTGATATTGTTTGTTATTATATTGAAAAACTGATTTGAATAGATTCAGTTTTTTCTTTGTTGTTTTGATAAAATCTGATTGGATAATTAAAGAATAATAATTATCTGAAGGGATAAATTGATTTTGGTTTTTTGAAAATATTTTTTGAAAATATTGAAATAGTACAATAAATAGTATTATAGTAAAGTTATATATAAAGGTTGTATTAAAACAAACAATAGACTCAATAATTTTGTTTAAATATGTTTTTAAAAAAGTGTTTGATTTGATAAATATAATAATATTGATGTAAATAGTTTTTGTGATATAATAAAAGAAAGAAGAAGTATAAGAAAACAAAAGAAAAAAAAATTGCCATGGCCTTTTCTTATGTAACCAAAAAATAAGCAAGACTCTCAAACTTAAATAGACTTTGATCAGAGGTTCTATCCCATTGTACCAGTTGTCTTGAAGATTCTTAAGTTCTTGAGCTAGAGTTTATTTGTGATAAAGAGTATAAAATATTTTTTCTTGCTTAAAATTACCATAAAAGAAAATTTTTTAACAAAATAGATATGATCAGGAGAGAATTTTTTTTACATTATTAAATATCTAATATAAATATAAATATATATTATATTATAATTCTAAGTAAAATTTAAAATAAAAAAATTTTAAAAAAATTTATTATTATTTTTATATAAGATAATTTGAATTAAAAGTTTAAATAAGAATATATAATAATTTTGTAATTGTAATTTGAAATAACAAACATATTATTAGTATTTCAAATAGTTATATTTCGAGATAATTTGCTTATATAATATTTTGGGAGTGCAAGAAATTTATTGTGTTTTCAAACTCATAATTATTTTTAAATAATTTATTTTAACTTAATTAGAAATGCTATTTTGACTTAAACTTAATTCAAAAAGTTAGAAATATAATAATTTTTTAATTGTAATTTGAAATTTAATAATATGAATTATTTGATTCTTTATATTCTTTTTTACTGTGTATAATAAAAACAAAAGATTATTAAGAAAAAAAATTATTATAATTATATATGCAGGTTAATCTCATAGATTAGCAATATGATTTTGAGTTAAAAGCAATTCTTAATTATTTATTATATTATATATTACTTGTTTAAAAAAATTTTGAATTCAATTTTATTATATACTGTATATAATTATGAGTATAAAAAAGAAAAAAAATAACAATAAATTCATATACTATTGAAAAATCAATAAGTGAATATCTTTCTAAATTTATAAAAACATTAAAAAAACAAATAACAATAAAAAAGTTTGTAATCATTAATTCAAAAAATGCAAATTAATTTACAATATACTTATTCATTAAATGTGTTATAAAGGTGAATAAGAGAAAACAAATCAGTAAAACAGTTGCAAGAATATTTAAAAGGACCAAGAATCTATGAATTACACAGAAAAACTGTGGATTGTGGATTATCTCTTGGAAAACTTTAACGTCAACAATAATTTTTCAAATTCAATATCAAGAATATATTTAATTTCAAGGTGGTAACATGTTAATGTGATTACATACACCCTCCACCAGCAACTGAAATCCAGGATGAGACATACACTTTCAAGAAATGTTCACAATGTGGGAGCATACAGGGGATTGGAAGAAGAGAGATTTACAAATGGAAAAATTGTAAATAAGTCATAGACAGGGACATGAACGGAATGCAAGGGATCTTCCGTTCCATCCGCATCGTGGATGTAAGATGAAAGATCACGCTTAGTGGATTATTACAGTCAGCACAAGCTTCAAATGAATAATAAATATATAGAGCCTCTTTCTTTTATTGGACAAACAAACCTTCCTTTGATACATAAGAAATTTAATCACCCCGAGCTGTTTAAGAATGAACTAAGTTATATGTAAGAATTATCTTATAATCACGTGGTTTCAGACGACAAAAGACTGGTAAAGTCGATGCACAAAGGAGCCCATATCGCCGAATTAAGGGACCCAAATATTAAAAACTCTGAAACTCACCACAAACGTACGACCTAAATATCTGTATAGTAACAAAAACATTAATATATCGCGCTCACTAAAACGGAAACGTTATGTACATGTGCATGGTCAAGGAACACAGTTTACAAACCATTTTGGAAATTTTCTAGTCGTCGCTTTGGACCAAAGGAGAATACAATGCATGGATATGCACAAAAAATAAAAATAAAATCCATTTTGAGCTCCCTGAAATACAGAAAACAACCTTCGCTTATTCTTATTCTCACATACAAACTAATCTGAAATACTATATAGAAAGACATTCCTTATCGCATTCACAGTGTCATCATGTTCATAAATAAAATAAGGTATCTAAACGAAAATTGAAAACGCATATTTATTATCGGTCAAAGAATTAATATCCAGCTAAAATCCGAACTCTTTTCCTATAGAAATTTTCTTAAAACGAATCAAATAATTGCTGAGGATGTAGCCTACAAACCAATAACCGATCTCACTGTTGAGAATGAGGAATCAAGCTTTTCTTCAGAATTCGAAAAAATAGAATTGTTTGCGTACAGTGATGAGGATGAAATATCTATTTATGAAGACATGCTAAATTCCGAGACAACGACGTTGAAAGAAAAATATTTGGACTTTGCGTCCGACAGCGACGAAATAGATAAAATTACTGAAGAAGGCGTAAAATTCCATGAGATAAATAATGAACAAGAAGGTGAATCAACCTTGCCGTATTATGAACCTTTTCAGGATGAAGAGATCCATGAGTCCAGTTTTCCTGACTCGTCACCTATTGAGACAGAATCTAAAGATGACATCGACACCCAAGAAATTGACGACGAAAACAAATTTGATAATTTGCCGAGGGGAGAATTTGCTGAAGAACTTGGATTAGGCAATAACGATTTGAAAAACAAATCAACCCTCAAACAACAGGTTACTTCTTTACTGCGTGCTATAGAATTTTCAGCTAAACCCGAAGAAGTTGAAGGATTCCTCGATGGATCGGACGATGAATCCGATGACGATGACGATGACGATGACGAAACAAAGTCCATCTATCATGTACCGGGTGACCTCGAAGAATCCGAAGAAATAGATGATGACGGCAGCAAGGAAATTCTCTTTGACAGTGTGGAGCAGAGATTCGACGATAAGTTGACAATAGACGCTAATCAAGATGATGTCGAGATAAATCATTCCGAACAAATAGTCGCTGTTGAATTAAATCACATGTTTCGTAAATTATATTCAGAGCATCAATATTCGGATCATGAAGACTTTTCTTTTGCACACACAATTATCAAGGATTGTTCAACTAATAAATGCTACTGATATTTTTCTATAATTGGTCCGGAAGAAGCACTTATGTTTTCTTTATAAACACGGTGGTCATACTAATTTTTCAATCTACAAAGCAACATGGAATTTGGACCGATAAGAACATTATGACCTGATTCAGTATTAATTAGCAATTTCATATAAGTAAAAAAAAAAGGGGGTTCTCTTGGGGATAATAATTATTTAAATCATCAATTTGTACAATAAAAATGATAAAATTAACATAATCTCATTATTATTTTACTCGCTCGCGCCGACATACATGACTTCTAATTTTTGTTACGAACAATCTATTTAAAAAATTAACTCAATAACCTCTATATACAACAATTTTTATTAATTGATATTACAATTATATTATTCCGTTTTTAAAAAATCACGTATATTATAACTTAAAAAAAAATAATAATGCATTTTTCCTTTTATTCATTTTTGGTTATCATACATTGTATTGATTGCGCTTTCGTAATATTAATCAATACGATGGCAATTATTAAAAATATTCTTTGAATTTGTAAAGAAACTACTGTATACATATTTTAATAGTTTCAATATCACTGAATTTTAAAATTAAAAACATCATTAGATATTGTAAATTGGTAGCTAAAGACAATAAACTTTCGGAATTCTATTAAATTACAGAAATATTGGTTATTTTTTTTAGCTGTTATGTGCGTATAACAAACTTTTTAATGTACTTTCAATTGAAAAAAAAAAAAAAACATCCATCAATCGCGAATTTAAATAAAAAGCGTCAACACGAGTTAATGTTACGTATTTCTTATTAATTTAGTACCAACACTTTTATCTCGTAACATTTAAAATTCACGCGATCGTTGCTTCTATGGCGTATTACAATTAATAATGTCAGGTGCATAATAGTTGTTATGCATTTCTCATTGCATTCAAATCTTCTTTGAACAACATTCTTCTTGTAGACGATGAAGGTTTGACTATAGATGCTGCGGGATTTGAGGTATGGGATGTCGTCCCTGGTGGAGTTGGTTCAGTAACCGTTGCAGTATTAGTAGATCCTCCAGAAGAATCATCATCTTTAAGAAACAAATTAATCTTTTCGTCGGCTATTTCGAGGTGACTCGTTTGTTCACAGACCTCCAACGCACTCAGGCGCAATAAATACTCGAGAAGACTAAGTGTTTTTAAATTAGATTGATACATCTCATCGTCATCATTGTCTAGTACGTTGAAACCATTCAACCCTAACCCAGCATCTGGAACTTCTGTAGCGTCTGTTGATCCGCGGGTGCTTAGAATATTACTGACATTTTCAATATCAGGCACTACATTTATTACAGGATTCCGATGTTCAACAGATATCTCAAAGTCCTCGGACTTTCTCATTTCATTCTCATCGTCATCACTTAAAGTTGCGTCAGAATCCTCACCATCGCTGACTGGTAGTGGAATCTTTCTTGGGGTAAGAGTTTTCGGAGTGGATACATTGCTTGGTGAAGGAGTACCAGGTAAAGACGAAACGATCCTTGATATTGGTGTGTTTGGTAAAGGAATATTCCGTGGTGATGGCGTGTCGGGCAGAGGAATCTTCCTTGGTGAAGGCGTTCTAATACTTTCGCGTGAATAAGAAGTAACGGTTCTCTTTTTACCATCATCGATTTTTTCATCATTTTTAAGAACTTCTTCCTCTTCACCCTCTTCCTCATCGTCACCAGCCTCCTCCTCATCATAATCATCATCATCACACTCATCACCAGAGAAAATTTCGGTCTCCTGAAAGATCTCCAAAGCAAAAAAATCTACGTCCACGTGTTCCTTAACATCTTTTGATTCATCATGGGTATGTACCATTGGAGGCACATATAATGGATTCGCATGTGGATCCATCATATCCGAGGTTCCTTCTTTCATCAAATGAGCTTTGGAAAGCCCCTTGATGACTTTAAGCACGAGTACCGGTGTCTTTGATTCTTCAATATTCAATAGAGATCCCGATGAAGTATAGTATAGCCGCGATATCTCCCCTACTGGTATTCGACGAACTTTTCCTGGAATACTTTGACTCGGTTTATCAAGCTTATCCTTAATTTCTTTTAGCTTAACTGGATCGTCAATATCAAATTCTTCGTGATATCTGCCGTCATTAAGATCTTCTGCAAGTACCAACTCATAAGCATACTCCTTGTCAGAAGTGTCACTGACCCGATATATAACAGCATCACATTTTGTGAATTCTTCTTTCCACGTAAAATCGACTACGGATTTTGGTCGCACCGAACCAGTAAACATGTAATACAGTTTTAGCTTATATACTGGACCCACACGCGTTTGTCTGGCGTTATTCCTCCTGAACCTCCGATTTGCCTCATATAATGCATTGGAAGCCTGAAGCAAACGCGAAGGACTTACGGAATTAGGCAGACTCCATCCAAGATTTGCTCCGCTAGTTGTCATAATGAGGTTGAGATATGGAACAAATTTTTCAATCTTCTGTATCAGATCCATCATTTCCCTTATGACCTTAGAATGTTCCAGAGGAGGCTTCTTTTTGGACGTTGTGCCAGTTGACTCATCGACTCCAAAAGAGTTTTTAGAAATCGTACGTGCAAATGATTCGATTTGCTTTCGTAACATCGTTGTGTGAGCAACGGTCGGTTCTAGTGTCGTATTTCCACGTGCCGATATTATTTCAATTAAATCTATGGCGGGTTGAACCATTTGTATACTAAGCTCCAAGTTCTGAATTAAAATTTATTGGGTATGTGTGTCAGTCAGTGTTCTATTGACTTGAATGGATACGAATTAACGCAGTAAACAATCACCTCTTTAACTCGCTCAATTTCGGCAGCGTCAACGTGAGGAACGTTAGTAGCGTCATGTTTAATATAGTTCGTAACTTGTTTCTTGAATTTAATCAACATCAATTTAGGAAATTTTGGAAAAAAAAAAAATCACTTTCCGGGAAAAAAATAAAAGAATCGACTATATTCACCAAGGCATAATTTGTACTGTACGCAAAAGCCGCTTTGCCAACCTGCGCGAGTGATAAACAAATTTAATTTGCCATGTAATCTATGATGCTTGTCAATTATGCGAGTATTATGTGAGCATTTACCAGAGTCGCAGTATGAAGCGCCAACTTTGTGAAGATGTCGTCCATTTTTAATTTATGAAATAGAAGAAAAATACGAACGATCGATTTATACCTTCTGCCATGCCATCGTACTCACTGATGTCATGACGCGTAATAATCACATGATCACAGATGGGTTAATTGACCAATAGAATTTTCCGAATAAATTATATAACTTGTTTTAATAATGAAACAAGTACTGTCTGTATAAGATCCAAAATTTACTCGATTGTTTGAAAAGCAAAATGATAATGTAGATGATCGGTATTTTGAATTAAGGTGTCATAAGCAACTTCCCGAAAGTTTTTCTTCCCTCCAAATCTTCATGGGCTTGTCTTGCCTCACTCAATTTGTATGTTTTCCAGATTTTTATGTCCAACTTGCCCCCAAGAAGTAGATCAAACAATTCACTCGTATATTTTTGGAAATCCTCCCCGGTAACCAAATAGCCAAACAAGGAAGTCCTCATCAATCTTATATTCTTCGTTGCAAGCCGGGTGATATCGAATGGTGGAACTTTTCCGCTAGCATTCCCGTATGAAATAAATGAGCCAAGCTGGCGCACACTCGAGAGAGAGGCTTCGAAAGTACTCTTTCCAACCCCATCATAAACCACATGAACACCTTCATTGTTAGTAATTCGCAGGACTTCTTCGACGACGTCCTGGGAGGTGTAGTTAATTACGTGTTCCGCGCCCGCTGATTTCGCCAATTCAGCTTTTTCAGGAGTAGAAACAGTACCGATCGCATGGGCGCCAATACTCTTCACAAGTTGAGTAAGAAGAAGACCAACACCACCGGCGGCAGCATGGATAAGGACCCAATCGTCTTTTTTGACAGGATAGGCGTGAGAAACTAAAAGATGTGAGGTCAAACCCTTTGGTTTAGACATTATTAAAAAAAAAGAGATCGGTTAGCTATTTTTGATTATCAGCGTTTCCACAGGAGAATTCACGATGATTAATACTTGAATAAGAGAAGCAGCAGCCACTTTCGAATCGACACCTTCTGGTATTTTGGCGACGTATTTCGCAGGCGCATTTACATACTCCGCATAACTGCTTGCCAAATAAATAACGCGGTCACCGGGGACGAAGTCTTTTACATTGTCGCCGACCGATTCAACAATCCCCGCGCCTTCACGTCCAATTATTGCTGGAAGTGGGAGTGGATATAAACCCGTTCTATTCGAAATAATGTTACTCTAGAAATCCTCATAAAATAACAATTATTAATTCACCGACTAAACGAACCTATGATAGATATCGATGAAATTGACACCGATAAAATGATTCTTTATTAATACGTCATCCGACCCTGTAATGTTAGGACGCGGAATAGTTTCACATTTTAAAACTTCGGTGCCCCCAGTGGTTGAAATTTGAATCGCCTTCATGGTTGATGCCATTTTTGCTAAATTACGAATGCAACATTAAATAAGAAATTAAGTTATGATGTGACATCCCAAAAATTTGAATGAACATACTAGAATATTTAATGTAGTGAGACAGCTTTAGAAGAAAATTTTGAGGAATCCTTGGTTTTGCGATCATGTATTTATCGTTGTAAGTTACTGCGTCGATGTCACTGTTTAAGGATGGTCATGTCTCCTTATTAGTTAGTGCACAGTGCACATTAGTAAGCAACTAATCATGTTTCAACATTATAATTAACGTAGCATATATTATAATCAATCAAATAATTACTAATAATAAACATATACAAATATAAATACAAATATTATCAATCTAATAATATTAAACGGGGTTTGAATTTCTAGGATTTTGTATCATATTTTCGTCAACATTAGCATTATCCCGATCCCAATATTTCCTAGCTTTCTCCATAACTACAAAGTGCCTATAAGTAAAGTGATTGAGAAATGGGAGAGGTATGAACCTGTCAACCGGTAAAATTCCTTCGTCTTTCCGGAATTTAAAGAAATTCTTAAAGTTTTCCAAAAACGTTCGGTCATTGGTTTCTGTCAATCCAAGGAATGAAATCATTCTAGGGAAATTAAAATTTTGATTTGGAAAAATAAGAGTTTCCGGTTTTGGTATGTAAAGATTCCTTTTTGATGTGGGCTCGCCACCATCTTGAAAGAATTTTACTTCATCACCAATTCCTATGAAATTAAATAAATCAATCTTTGTAAGGTAATGACTTAAAGTTGAGGAATGAAATCCAGGAGCAAGCCTAATTTTAAATGGTGAATTCAAGAGGTTAATTACAAATTCAAAAAATTTACGTTTGTGCTTTTCTTTTTTTTATATTACCTTGGAACCACATCACTATCGTTTATAATCCTCCACAAGTTTTTTGTTGCGTTTTTTGGTTGGTTCTCCAAAAACTTGTAATGAGCTGCAAAATCATTATCTCCAACATAAGGACAAGCAAATAAATATGTACCACGAAGGTTAACATTTTCACCCACTGAATCGGGTGACGCAAAAATCCTGACATGCATTAAACTGGCCAAGGCCGCGCCAAGACTATGGCCAGAAATCCAAAGATTGACTGGTTCCTGTGTTCTACCATTTATTTCTTTTTTAAAAAAGTTTTGATATATTTAAACACAATCCATTTTTTCAAGTGACTGAATATTGATGATATAATGTAGCTACCTGCAGCTTTTGTTTTTATAGCTTCAGTCAATCTTACAGCTGGATATTGATTTTTAAATTTTACAGAATCATCAGTGTTATCGGGAAAAATAGAAGTGTAGAACCCTTCATGAACTTCGCCAAAAAGGTAAGGTCGTGCATCCTTTTCATTTTATAAGCGATGATTAGTACCAGTTCACAAACATACAAATAAAAGATTGAAGATCCATACCATTCGATGAAGGCTAAAGTTTGTCAACCATTGTGTAAGAGAAAGTGCATCGGTCCCTTTAAAGGACAAGATAATAAAATTATGATCTTCACTCCTATAAAGATAAAGGTGGAAAAAAATTAAGTATATCAAACAAGATTCAAATCGCTAGGCATAATAATGACCAACCAGAAAATTCCCGCGTAAGGCCCACCCACACTGTTACATTCGGTTAAAGACATAAACTTTAAACCGAAATGCTTCGCTCGTTCGCGAACAGGCTCCTCACTTTGATCAAGTAACTTGACAATCTCTTGAACTTCTCGACTTTGAGCACTGGCGTTAAGTTTGTCAAGTTTGATAATCTTCTGGTAAGCTTTGTCGACCAAACCCTCATCACGTGAAATAATTGCTTCATCTGCCCATAGTAAAAACTCGGCTCTATCAATATTAAATTCTGGAGAGTTTGAGTCGTCCACATCTTTATTCAATGAATCAAGGCCTTTTCGTAAGTTATCCTCTAGTTGTCCCAAAATAATAATATTGAGTTAGTTCTTCAAAAAACATCCATATACGACATACTGTACTCCCCAGATACAGATGCGATAATAATAACGATTTTATTTTATTTGCATTCCCTTCGCGCTCACTTGGGACCGTCGATTCTACCAATAACTTACCAACATGATATTTGCTCAACGACTGCCACAGTTTAAGTGTATCAGTATTGGTAGATTTTGAAATTGATCGAACCTGATTGACTATTCTAAAGATGATTTCAGCAAAGAAAAAAACAACTGCTAACCCCGGAAAAAGGATAAATGTAACAATGAAATTCAAAGGGTTCACGAGTGGAAAGGTCCAATTAAAGAATAGGGTAAGAACCAAATGAATTATGAGACGAATCACGAAATAAAGATAACTCAGAGGTTGATAAACAAAAATGTTTCTCCTTGCTGACGCTGGAATCCAGGTTTTTGTTTCTGACATATCCTTGAGATGCATACATCTATAGGGATCAATATTGAAATTTTGATAATCCGTGATGGAAACAGGATTATTCGCGGGGGTAATGTTATCATTCGCGGGGGTAATAGTATCAAAATTAGTTTCCATTGGTTGTGTCATTTTTCAATTACAAAATATTTTTTATTTGGATTTAAGCGCAAGAAATTCGAATTCACCTCAACCAAAGAATACTTTATATATATATGAATGATGGAGAAAAATGGCCGATTGTTTTTGAAAACGATTATACATGTATACCATTTTTTGATCCTATTTTTTGAACAATACATATACAATATAAATTCTAAGAGTACAATTATAAAGTCAAAAAGAATTACCCAAATTAATGATTCACGTTGCATAAATATTTGTATTTTTTAGATTAAAAAATGGTTTAATTGATCCCCAATAAATATCGTGATTGCCAAATAAATTAGAATTAACTCCGACACTCCATTAAAACACAAATTTCAATGGTCAAAGAAGTCTTAATGAGAAAAGAAAAGAAAAAATGCAATTCGTATCATGCCAAAGAGTAACAATAAAACATTATTGATTTGTTGCACTTGAACTTTTTGTTTGGTGACTCTTCTTCGTTTACGCAGTACAATAATAAGTTGTTCACCTCGAAACCAGTATTGTACATCACGCGAATTATGCCAAGACCATAGCAATGAGTTGTGTTCTTTCAAGTATAATTCTATTTGTTTTACTATTAAACATAGTTGTGTGACGAGATAACGGAGAGTCTGCCGTTTGTGCCGCATCAAAAAAATAAAATAAATATTATTGTATTTAAAAAACATGTATCCAAAAACGTTCACTGCAATTCGCAATCCATGCTTTTTTTCTTTTCCCGGGATTTGGGAAAAAGATCGCACATCACAATGAAAAAAAAATAGTTTGTCATCTTTTTTTTTTTTATAGTTATTCTGATTGGTTAAATTTTATCATTGCTGGAGTATGAATAAAACCTTAATAAACCTGTTTTACAACTTAATTACGTATGACCTTTATGGTCATTGATCATCAATTCCAACAGTCCATATATAGTATTTTTTTTTTACTTTGGTTATATAAAAAAAAATTTTTTTTAAATATATTATTAAACGAGATAACAAAATAGAATTTTAAATTTTTCTATCTATTACAAAAAAATAATAATCAATTATTCAAATTAATTAATTATAAATTAATAAAACTTTTAAAATCTTTTTTAAAAAAATTCTCTTGTGATTTAATACGTATTAAGTCATTTATTTTTTACATTAACTCAATAAATAATATATTAATAATAAATATATTTTATTAAAAAAATAATTAAGATTCAATACTTTTTTTTAAATAATTAATTAATTAATTTTATAAATTTTTTTAATAATTTTTTATATTTTAACTTTAATAAAAAATATAATATCCTTTTATTAATACCACTTTTTTATAAAGTTTTATCAAAAAACAAATAACTTAATATTAAGTTAAAAAAATTTTTTATTAATTTATAATTAATCATTGTTATTTTTTTATAATAGATAAAAGAATTAAAAAAAAATTTTTTAATTAAAATTTAATAATATTATTTTAATATATATATATATTTTATATATTTTTATTTTATGTGTTTTTAAATATAAATTAATAATTTTAGGATTAATAAATTTTTATAAAATTAAGAAGATAACAAATTATAAAAAATAATTATATAATAAAATCTAATTAATTATTTATTTATTTAAAATTTAAATATTAATTGTAAAAAATTTTATTAGATATTTAATTTTATTTTAAAAAAAATTTTTTTATAATACTTACTATTTTTTTTAAATTACAATACTGTATATTATAACATCCAGACAAAAATTCCAGACCAATCTCTCACATATGGCAAGTCGTGGAACTGTCATGTGGCATCACCGATAGAATATTATCCATAACAGATACCACCAACTGGATCAAGGCGTCAACCGAATCCCTAACCCAACTATATAATTCAATTTGGAAACCATGATGCAACACCGCCAACACCTTGCCAATTACAGGTATCAAATAAAAACCAAACAAACTACGGAACACCACCAACTTAACCAAACCAAAAAAAAATCACACCGCTTCTAATGAAAACTCACACTCCAAGGATATCCAAAATGAAACCATCATAGACCTACTGACAATTGTCACTAACTCTTTTATTCAATGTAATTAT